TAGAGGTAACGTACCTGCCCAACACCTCCTAAAATACAGTTGTTGACCTGCCTCGATTATAAGCAAACCATCAGTAAATTGCGGCACATTATCATATACACGAAATATCATTATATACCCAAAAATAAGCGGAGTTGGACATTCCCGCTTCCCAATTCAGTATTGTTTAGAGGCGAGCTTTTTACTGTGACAGTTTGGCTCGTCGAAGCATCGTCAAAATTCAAAATTATTATACACAAATTTATACAATTTTATATATTCTTTTTGCATTATTTTAAAGTCTTATATCAACGGCGCATGCTTTTGCACGCGTCTTTGTTTTCTCGTTTTCGGAGTTATTATACAATTTAAAAATGTTTTTTTTAGGTGTTGTATTTGTTGTTAATGTTTTAGTTTTAAGTCCGCTCCGCCCGACCTAACAATTGCCCCGTCGCCACCTTACGCGGGGATGCTAGGTTGGTAATGGACCGGATGTCGAGCGAGGACCATATAGATACATTGTTTTCTTCAACTATTAATAAAATTGTTTCGATTTGATTTGATTTTGACCTGCCTCGAAACTTCGGGGTCCCGGGTTCTATTCCCGGTCGAGGAACTGGGATTTTTCTGTGAGAGAGATTAATCGTAGTATACTCGGATATTGGGTGTGTCCATTGTCTCTAAATGTGTAGCCCTCTCCCACACAAGGTCATTCCAGACCTTCTGGGGTAAAGGGGGTTGTAATTTCATGTGGTGTTATTATTATATTATTATTAAAAATAGCTGTGAGAATATAACATTTACTATCAATGCCGATAAATAAAAATTATAAGATTGATTACAGACATGAATCAACGATATTGGTGTATACATAATTAATAATTACTGAGGAATACAAGCGAAGGAAAATTATAATATTCGTCACATTATTGAGTATGAAATGGAAACTCTATAGGAAGTTTTTTGCATTTTTCTGACTAAGGATGATATGTTTACTTCTGTTAGAATTTTGATACCATATAAACAGATTTCTACTCTTGGTAGTGGAAAAATATAATTTACGTTGAAGTATGAATAAATTTAATTTAAATTTCTTGTACTGTTTGTTTTTTATAACAAAGGTCTTAATAAAAAGGAACCGATTACAAGATAATTGCGAAATAAGTTGTTTGGACGTCAAATTTATAAGATGACGGCCGGCAAACAACGGTACTTTTTTTTCGCGTTAAAAAAATTTAAGGATACCAAATTTTATACAAAGTGAACAATTTCTATTAAAAATGGTGTTAAGCAACTCCACTATGAACGAAATTTTAAAATTAAGATCATAACGAACGACTGCTTATTTTAATTATTCACTGAAATACATATATTTTAACAGTGGCGGCTGCTCCTAAGGGGCACAGGAGCACGTGCCCCCCAAAGCAAATTCAGCTTAGCTAGTTAATTAGTCAATTTCTAATTTCTATTTATTTTTATCCATTTTAACATTTTTATCAACATAATAAACCCCAAAACTAATTTCCGACGCTATCGCTGCGTTACAACTTGAGTTTGCCAATATCTACTTCCCAAAGGGCACAAGATGAGTTGTGTACGGAGATCGCGTCATGTTTCTGCATTAGGCTAGATTTTGTTTATGGCATTGCTATGGCAACGACCCCCGCTTATGCTCTAATGCGGGCACAGTTCACTTGTGTCCACAGTACACACACACCTACACTTGAGTTTTCAGTTTTCAGTTTAGAGAGATATTTATGTTTGTCTGCTCTCGCTGCTTGAATTTCGCGTTTTGTTTATTTCACTTAGGCACACATAAGACATTTCAAAATGAATTCAGTGTCTTATATTTTAAGTAACAGACCGCTGAGTTATGATGATAAAGTTATTATAAAAAAATTACGAAGGCCTGTCCCGGAATTAAATATAAAAAAAACTACTGTAGACAATTTAATAGATATTTTAAAAAAGAAAATACATATGATAAGTTTTCGTGGATGTGTGGGTGTTCCGAGCGAAATAAGCTGTTCTGTTTTGTTTGCCTTTTAAGCAACAATTTGCAATCTTCACCCTGGATTCAGGAAGGAGTACACGATTTACAACATTTACAGGAAAGAGCAACGAAACATGCGAAGAGTGCAAGTCATTTATATAATTTAGTGGACCATAATGTTTTAGGTAAAAGTGACATTCGTAAACAATTAGACAGGGCTTATCTCGAAAATATACGAGCTCATAACGAAAAGGTCAATAAAAATCGTCATATATTACGACGTTTAATAATGTGCATTAAATTTTGTGGTGCATTTGAACTGGCACTGCGTGGATACGATGAACGCGAAGATTCACAAAATCGAGGTATATTTCGAGGTTTAGTTGATTTCACATCTGAGTTAGATTCAGTTTTATCTGCTCATATAAAAGAGGCTACGGTATTTAAAGGAACCTCTAAAACCATTCAAAATGAGGTTTTAGATGCTATGTTACAAGTCTGCAAAAAAGGAAATTTTCGATCAAATAACAAAATCTAATTTTCTTGCTATTGAAGCTGACGAGACAACTGACTCGTTTAACCAGCAGCAGCTTGTTGTAATATTTCGATATATCTTTGAAGGAGAAATTTATGAAAGGTTTTGGACTTTTGTTAGACCAGTGGGGTACGTACACTGCGGAAAATATGTCGGGAGCTATAATGCATGAACTCGATCATCTTGCAGTTCCTGCAAATAAATTAATAGCTCAAAGTTATGACGGAGCGTCAGTTATCAGTGGAAGAGTAGCAGGCGTTCAATCGCTTATCAGGTAAAAATACCCGTATGCATTTTATATTCATTGTTACGCCCATCAGTTCAACCTAATACTGGAAAAGGCTGCATCTTGCAATAAAAAAATTAAAAATATTCTTTGCTGAAATTCAATCTTTTACTTCGTTTTTTTCTCGATCTACAAAAAGAACAGCACCTTTGGATGAAATTGCAAAACGAAGACTTCCACGGGCGGTTATCACTAGATGGAATTGCAAAACAAGAACCATCAACACCCTGTATGAAAAAAAGGAACTAATTCGCGAATATTTGGACAAACTCCTAGACACAGAGGAGGACCCTAAAACAATAGCTGAAGCGAACGGACTGCTGAAAAATTTAAATTCCATAGATTTCAATTATTTTCTAGAAGTAACTCATTGGATCACTCCACATGTTGCAATATTTTTTAATCAAGTCCAATCTCGCGGAGCAGACAGTGTTTATATTCAACAATGTTTAAAAACATTTGAATCTCAGATAGACAAAATCAGACAAAACAAAATTGATCAATTTGAAGTGCCTGAACCTGAAGAAATGAATAGTGAAAGATCTAGCCGAAAACGCACTAAACGCGGTGAGTTTGATCGATCTGAAATTAATCGAATTGTGGCTAAAGAATATTGTGATGTTTTATTGTCTCAGATACGAGATAGATTTGATTTTACTGGACATTTGTCTGCAGCTTATTTTCTTCAGATTTGTTTCCTACTTATAAAGAAAAATTTCCCGAAGAAACGTTTACAGAGACTGTAGAAGCTTATAATGCTTTAATAGACAAAGAGAAATTAAGAACTGAATTGAAAATTATTTATGGCAGGGATGATATGTGCTGCAATGGTGTTTTACCTCTGCTGACATTTATTAATAAAAATAATTTGGAGGAAGGCTTATCTGAGACGTACAAAATTTTAAGTATCATATGTATTACACCTATGACGACGTGCGAATGTGAAAAAGGTTTTTCTACGTTAAAAAGAATAAAATGTTTTCTAAGGAACACTATGGGCCAAGAAAGGCTTAATGCACTTTCGATGTTATCAATTGAAAAAAAATATGTTTCAGTTAATTCCTGACTTTGACAATAAAGTGATAGACATTTTCGCAGCTAGTAAGGAACGTAGAATGGATTTTATGTATAAATAAAATGTTCTTGTTTGTGTTTGTGTGTGTTTATGTACTAGATCTTAAAGTGGGAGGACACCTTTGCAATTTTTTGCTTATTTTTTAAGCAGCACACGATTTTGAGAACAAAGAATATTGTGAGTTCTCTGGTAAGTTAATTTTAATATACAATTTCAAAATGTCAAATGTGTGCCCACCTATAAAATTAACCACGAGCCGCCACTGTATTTTAACATGGCTTTTCTGAGAAACCATTATAAATAGATATCAAGTATGTAGGTATTTTCTACAAATACACATAATTTACTTACACTAATGTACGGGGTATCAGTTTTAATAAAAACGGAAACAGACCAATTAATATGGGGAAGGCAATATACGGAAAAATAATGAATTATTTTGTATAAAACAATGATGTACCACAATTTGTTCAATATTACGTTAAAAAAAAATGACAAACCCTAAACCTCCGTAAAAGTTTATATTTTATTCTAAAATGAGGCGAGCCACTCTGTAATAATATAGTTGAAATATAAGAAGCAAAAGTTCCAACTGTATGCTCGATCATCGAAAATAAACGCACACCCTCAGCAGGAAATGGCTTTTTGTACCGGACGTGTTATTTATACTCAATCAGCACTATGATGCCTTTTCAGCTAATTTTCAGATGTACAAATGCGGAGTTTGCAGAATCAAAGATCATTTAAATAAAATAAAATAACAAATAAACCACCTATATTTATTTTTGGCGCCAGTAAATTTGTTATTAAAATATTTTTGACACTCAAGATACTACGTTTTTCACTTTTTATTAAGCAGATTTCCAGGCAGACTTTCTTCTCGGATCTAAATAATTTTAATTGTCCAAATTATTTGTGGCGTTCTTTTAATTGCCCTTTTTCTGATTGGAACCTTCTACCGCATGAATAAGAATAACTCTTATGATTCAATATAATGTAAACAAATGGGGTTGGTTACCCAATAAAAAATATTTTATTTTTCCACAGAAATCAAATACATGCAGAATTCATTCCATTAGAATTAAAATAACCGTTTCTGTGTATAAAATAATATATCTTCAAAAATATGTGTGGCCTCGTAGTTGAGTGGTAAGGACACTTGGTTCTCACCCAGCAGTCCCGGGTTCGAATTCCTGTCGAGGACTTAGAATTTTTTCAAAACCAGAAATTATTCCTAGCACAATCGGACATTGGGTATGTGTCCATTGTCTCTAAATGTGAGGTACCTTCTGGGATACCGGGGGTTGTAGAACTATAATTCTAGAAACTTCTTCCTTAGGAACCTTTATAAGCCGATGTACGACCTTATCACAAAAACATTTCCAAAATATCATTAAATTCAGTCATAATCATTTGAGACAATGTGCAGCCAACTTTTACCATTTTGTATAAATATACATACTTAATATTAATTGGTAAAAGATAATGTGTACAATTTCGATGTACATGAAAAAAAACTGTCATTTTATTTGAAACAAACATTTTTGTAGTAGGGACCCACTAAAATTTATAACATAGAACATCACCGGTTGTGGTTTTTCGAAATGGTTACTTATTTTCATAATATAAATAAAAAAAACACTCACAAATAGTGATCTAAGAGGAAATGACAAATTCCAAGAAACTATTTAAATAAATAATACATGATTTTTCTGAAAATGCTACTTGGTATTTAATGAGTATCTGATATTTCCAACAACGCGTTAATATCTCGAAACATAGAAATCATCTCAATCGCTTATAATATTTTGACACATTGTTTTGGTAGTTGCGATTTGTGTGAAGTATAGAAAAAATAATTTTGGGTAACGATGAAGGTGATTTATAGAAGTTTCCAAGAACTCCACTAGATATTCTTATGGAGACAAATCATGCGACACTGAATTTGTTGCCTGAGAAGTCATGGGAAAGGTACGAAAAGGAACATACTTTGTTCAAGGAATTGCGTAATCAGAAAAAAAATCAAAAGAATTACAGGAAATAGTCAACAGGAGTGAAATTATTCGACACTAAAAGCAACACTGGCTGTTAAGGACAATATTGACATCAAAGTTCTCAAATTAACAGCCATTTTGAAACGTCAAAATGTTGGTTACGGAGCAAAATATGCTGCTCTCCAATCGCCAAAAACTATTTATAATATAATAGAGAAAACTGTGTCATTCAAATTGTGGGAAAAAAATAGTATCCAAAATGCACAGCGACATAGTAAAATATCTGAAATTATCCAATACTCAGGCTTATACCAGTCATAGCTTTACACGGACTTCCGTATCTTTGTTAGTTGATGCAGGAATTTTAAGTCTAACGAGACATGGCGGATGGAAATTGAGTTTTTGCAAAAAAAAAGGTGCTTTCTTACTGTAAACATCTTGCGGGACAAAAGCTTACCCTCGATCTGCATATATGGAACGAAAAGCTTACCTTTTTTAAGGTTTTTGAAAAAATAATGCTCCTTTTTACTTGGAGGCATTATACCCAGAAAATGGAGAACATCGAATGCGCGGCTATAAATTACTTCGTTTTCGACATTTCGGTATAGACAGATTATAATTATTTAAGTGATAGGACATAACACATGATATACCCTTATCGTTGAGAATTGTGATATAGAGTGTCCCCAGATGGAGTTCACAATAATTGTAAATTTTTAATTTTAAATTTTTCGAAAAAAGTCATATTTTATGAAAAGTTTTGCTAATATTGAGAATTCAACAGCCGTAATCAAATATTTGTAAAATTATATAGTGTGATGAAAACCTTAAAATATGTGAAACTTATTCAAGAGTAAACTACCAATATTTTTCTATTTAGAGAAAAATGTCATGAATAATTATTCGTAATCATAAAACCGACTTAAATTAAAAAAACCGTTGAAAAAATTTATTAAGATAGATATAATTATTAAAATTTGACCAATAATTAAAATGTTTTTTCTTTTTACTTGCTACAGATTTTGACAAATCTAATTGAAAAACCAAATTGAAAATAAAAAATTTACAAGTATTGTTAAACCATCCGAGGACACACAATCACAATTCTCGGATTATTACATAAAAAAATCGAAACGTCGATTTTAAATGAAAAACGATTTTTTTAAATTTAAAATGAGTAATGAATACTAAAAGTAATATCTAAATACAAGATACCAAAGGGGTAATACTCTCACTTTATTTAATTGTAGATATTTTTTATTATCTCTGTTCAACCCTCGGTTCAACCCAATTACTTAGAATACAACGGTTGATATTTGACTTTAGAATGAGTCAATGGCACTACTGGTATTACATCCAATAAGATAAAAAGACAAATTGAAGCATCATTTTAATATGGTCGGACAGTATATTAAAAAATCTACTGCCGTTAAAGAAGAGGCCCTTTTGATACAGCACAGTATCATATCTATGATAAAACAAAACAAACAATTTCATATATATTTACAGATATTGGCGTCAGAATTATAAAAGATTTAAATGCTCCTCTACACAGAAAGAAAACTATTCTATATCAAAGTAATCGATTATTCTTGAATTTTTATACTTGTCACTAGAAAAGTATTACTTGGAATAATAAATTATTATTGTTTCAATAATATACCAATTGTAAACCAAGAACAGATATATTTTTGAGTTTCATTAGCGCAAGTCTTTAAATCAATATGCGTTTGATTCCTTCGAAGTATACGTATGTAAATATACTCTTAATAGTACACTTCTTTCGAGTACTGTTAACCGTGAGAGTAAGTATAAGGACATCTTGAAGTAAATTCTTATTTAAATGTTTTTCTTGATATAAGAATACTACTCTTGGATTAAAAGTACAAACAACTTTGCTGGAAGAATTATACATACTATTAATCCAAGAACTGTTATCCCTGATTGAACACTTGCTAATCTCAATGTGAAGAGTTCTAATGTTGGAACAAGTGAATTACGCAGTGGTGGGAGATAGAAAGCTATGCCTTTGCCAAACAAAACAAAACCACATACCGTATCTACTACGCGTCGAATTGTGTGTGCTGTACTTTGTTCATAGATGCTGATTATGAAATAATTTATATTTGTAAAGTTACACTTGAAAAAGAAGTATATGAACATTATGAACTGTGAAATAGAAGTTAATGAGTCTACTACAGCAAGTTGGGAATTGGAGTCTTTAATTTCAATATTAGAAGGTAAGTTTAATAATTCTGGTTTTACTGCATGCAAGCTATTTTAATTACATACGTTATACTTTACAAGAAATGAATACACAACGTCACTATATTGTAGGTGAAAAGGTATTCATCTGAAGTTTAATGGTTGTGTATAGATTTCCCAAGTTACTTTCCTTTTTGATAATTTTTGCTTGTGTATTATATACAATCTACAGTCAAGATATGCATTTTTATTATAGTGGCGTTTTATTATACAATACAGGGTGACTGGTAAGTCGGCTTATTCCTTTGAGTGTGAGTTAGTAGAACTGATTTGCACATGATTTAGAGATCTAATAGTTTTTGAGATATTTTATTTTTAAAATAAAAAAAAACTTTCTTTAATATTTCAGTTTCCTGAGTTTGTTTACATAGTTATGTAACAAAAATTAGGTTAAATACTTTAACAAAATAAAAAGATGAGCTAAAAAATACATTCGTGAAAAAAATTTCAACCCAATCGTACATTCATAGGAATTTATTTTTAAAACTTGATAATGCATTAAACGTGCAAATTACTTAAAAACTTCTCTACTTTATATACATATTACTTTTCGAATGAGGTTTATATGAAGTTTTAAAAACTATCTTTTACTTCCATAAATAATACAAAAATACTAGGTACACGTAGAGCGTCCATTTATTTCAAATTAAAGAGATACAGGTTGTTTCGAAAAACATGTGCCATCGCTTAAACGGAGATTCTACACTCAAAAATAAGACAAATATACCTAATTACTATCAACATAGGTCCATATATTTGCTTCATTTCTGAGATATTGAAGTTTTATTTTTCTTTGCGTTAACAGTAAAATATATACGTCACTGGTTTTTTGTTTTTGATGGCCCAATTATGTAGAAAGTTAATTGCCGAAAAAATGTCTCCGCTTGACGTTTTTTAGATATCGGCATCGTGTAGAAGATAAATGCAATTTTTCAAGTCTTTTTAAATCTATTAAAAAATAATAATAATGCTATTAAGTACCCTACATAAAAAAATTGCATTTATCTCCTACGCGAAACCTAAATCTAACAAAAATTAAGAGGTAACTTCTTTTCAGCAATTAACTGTCTATATAACTGTGCCATCTAAAACAAAAAGAAGTCAGTGGTGTATATATTTTCTTTACAAAATTAACCGAAATAATAAAACTTCAACATTCTGCATTTCAAGTACGAAACAGCAATGGACCCATGTTGGTGGTAACTATTTGTCTTATTTTTGAGTGAGAAATCTCCGCTTAAGCGATGAAAAAATAAATAAAATATCTCAAAAACTGTTAGGTTTTGTATTATGCATATTATAGTTAAATCAGTTGCAAATGAGCTCTACTAACATCCCTTAAAAGGAATACGGCGACTTACCATTCATGCACCCTGATGTGTATCTACATATACATATATAACATTATTAATCAATGACTTTCTGGAGTCATTGATATTAATTTATTACCAGTGTAGGATTAAAGTTCTTTGTTCTTGCCAAAAATGCTAAGCTTAATTATTATGTATTTTAGTTGCCTATTTACAGTTTGTATATATGCATGGAAATTTTGTGAATATTCAAATGGACTTAAAAATTTGGGTTTCACATGTACAAAACTTGTTATGCCATACCTGTTTGAAAGTTCGAGCATATTTTTCTATTATATAGTTAGCTACAATGATTTATTTAAATTATTTATACTTTAATAACATAAACAATTGTTTTCTAGGTTAAGAAAATTAACCAACGTTGAACAATTTAATGGAAATTTTAGAGGAACAGATTATAGAACTTATTCCTCAAATCGGAGAGAGAATAAAATTCATAAAACACTTAAAAGCACATAAAGAAATAATGTGCCTTCCTGTGATAAATTTGAAGTCTCATATACAGTGTGTTCACGAATGGACTTATACTTGTAAAATTTTTTGTTTTTGGTTTCTTAATAAAACATCAATCTTCAT